AGTTATGAGCATAAACTCAGAAATGCCATACTAGAAGTCATTCACAGATCCCAGATGAATGACTTGTTCCAACCTTACTGTGTTGACATGACAGAACTTTTACAGAAGTTACTGCATTCAGAAAACGAGGAGAATGGTGTCATTTGTTTGAAGATTCTGACAAGTTTGTTCAAGTCTTACAAGACGGTGTTGACAGACAAGGCGGAGCCATTTATCCAGTTGATCATTGAGATGTACAAGAACATGGATCAGCTCATCACTGATACATTTGTCACCAACCAGAGTGTACATAACACACAGGGTTCATTCAACTCACCAAGCTCTTCATCTCCGTTGTTATCACAGGATGAGCCAAAACAGTTGGGGAAGGCTATGTCATCCTTTAAGACCATTGCTGAGTGTCCCATTACTATGGTGACATTGACATCTTCTTATAAACAATTGGTGACGACTTCTCTCCCAGAGTTTATTCCTCATATTATCGATATCTTGAAGGCGGAGGTGCCACAACAAGCTGAGGCAAGAAGATTGGCAGAGGAAAAGAATGAAAGATTTACCTCAGTGAGTCCTGCTATTAAGAACAGAGTCGCGTATGGAGAGTTCATTCTAGGTCAAGTCAAAGCTGCTTCGTTCTTAGCGTACATTTTCATCCGTGGCTATTCAACAACGTTACTCAATGACTATACTCAAATCATACCTGATTTGATCATGAGATTGCTCATGGACTGTCCTAGTGAACTGTCTCATGCCAGAAAGGAACTTCTCCATGCAACAAGACATATTCTCACCACTCCTTACAGAACGTTGTTTATTCCAATGCTGGACTTGTTGTTCGATGAAATGGTGCTCATTGGAGATGGGTTAACTGCACATGAGACCTTGCGTCCATTGGCTTACAGCATTGTCGCAGACTTCGTGCACAATGTTAGAAACGAATTGACAACAGACAAGATTTTACAGACCATTACCATGTACTGCAACCATCTTCAGGATAGTACGTTGGCATTGACCGTTCAAATCATGAGTGCAAAGTTACTGCTGAATCTTGTGGAAAGAATTATGCGTATGAGTTCAAAAGCCGAAGGAAGGGAACTGTTCATGCTCATTATTGACGCATTCACCAAAAGATTTCAAGCTCTCAATAGACAATATGACAACATTATGAAGCATCATCATGAAATTGAGGAAAAGAAGCAGAAGAAAGCCATCTCCCAAAAGGAAGCTCTCAAGAAGGATAACCTCCAGTCATTTGATGCTGATGATGAAATCAATGTATATCTTGAAAATGTGAAGAAGCTTGCCTATGCTAATGCACAACCTAAGAAGGATGCAGATGACGATGTGCAAATGGAAGACCAGAACGAGCCTGCTGATTCAGAAGAGGCTGTTTCTGCGGAGGAAACAAAGGACAACGAGGTTGATATCTTTGATATACAAAGGGAAGTTCCAATTCTAATTTCCCCAAATTCTTCGAACGATCCTTTGAAGGACGCCCGTTATTTGTTCCGTACTCTACTTCAGTTCCTGAAAACAATCAGTTATGGTTTGAAGAACTTCAACCCAGCACCTCCTGTTGGCCACGACGAGAATCTTCACCAAAAATGGAATGATTTTGCTAGAGTGTTTTCAAATGAAGAGGTCAACATTCTCAGACAACTTTTCCGTGAATGTATATCAGGTATGAGATTTTTTTCCACTGCTCAGATTAAGCCAGTTAAGCCAAACAAATCCATGATGGAGTTCACCGGTCCATCTCTACCAGTAAGTTCATCTAAGGAGGAGAAAGATTTGATGGAGAATTTTGCTATCATCTTTATCCATATTGATGCTGCTACATTCAATGAAATCGTTCAAGCTGAGGTCCGGTTTTTATATGATGCTATGTTGAGGGATTCTGCCATGCTCCACATTCCACAATTCTTTTTGGCCAACGAAAACACATCTCCAAACTTTTCGGGCTTGTTGATCTCATTTTTGAAGAGTAAATTGGAGGAACTTGGCTCTCCCGATATTGTGAAAACCAACATATTGATACGTTTATTCAAGTTATGCTTCATGTCAGTTAATTTGTTTCCAGCACTGAACGAGAAAGTTATCCTTCCTCACTTGAACGATTTGATCCTTACATCTTTGAAGCTAACAACTACATCCAAGGAGCCAATTGCATATTTCCATCTCATACGAACATTATTCAGATCAATCGGCGGTGGGAGATTTGAAAACCTTTACAAAGAGATCATGCCATTACTACAAGTTCTTTTGGAATCTCTGAATAGAATGATCCTTAGTGCCCGTCGCCCACAAGAAACAGATATTTACGTTGAGCTTTGTCTTACTGTTCCTGTTCGTCTCAGTGTGTTGGTTCCACATCTTAACTATTTGATGAGACCTTTAGTCTTGGCCTTAAACAGTAGCCAGGAATTGGTCAGTCAAGGATTGAGAACCCTTGAGCTCTGTGTTGACAATCTAACTGCCGAGTACTTTGATCCTATCATCGAGCCTGTCATCAATGATGTAATGAAAGCACTTTGGGGACACTTGAAACCATTGCCATATCACCACCAACATTCACACACAGCCTTCCGCATTTTAGGTAAGTTGGGTGGAAGAAATCGCCGTTTCATTAAACCTCATCAGGATTTGGAGATTATTTCCAGTTTAGATCAGGAGATCAACGCCAAATTCAAGATCGAAGGGCTTGCAGACCCGGTTTCTTTGTCTGTAACAACAGGTATTCCTCATGCCATTGACATGTTGGAAAATGGGTCATTGGATACTTCTTACAGATTGAGTGCATACAGATATATCTCTAAGACATTCATGCTTTTCATCTCTTCACATCAACTCCCTGAAAATTATGGATCCAAGTTGTCTGCTGCAGTTAGACTCATTTCGGAAGAAAAGGTTGAATATGAAAAGTTTGAGGTTTTTGACGAAATTATCATTTCGAAGCAGAAACTAAACCGTGAGCAAGAATTAGCATTGCGTCTTTTCAAGTCAATTTTCTATGCCACTTCAATTCCTGAATTGAAGGACGAGGTTATCTCCTTGATAAAAAACATATCTGAACACTTTACATTAATTGGTGTTGGTAAAGTACTCATCGAGAAGGTAAAGAACCAAAGACCATTCCTCGTTTCTGATTATGAGGGAAAAGTTGTTCTTTCTGAGCGTATCATGTTTGATGCAATTATTTATGCGCTGAGCTCGTATCTGATTGATGTTAGACAAGCAGGTCTTGATGCCATCAAAACAATATTTGATACTTCTGTTGTTGTGTTTGGAAGTAAAGAGAAGGCGTTGGAGTTCCCCGTTTTACGTTCCTTCTTCAATGCTTTCGTGCATTCGAGTTATGATGAAAAGTTCTATAACAAATTGGCCAGTACTTTTGGTTTGAAAAGTCTTGTGGAAGATCAGGGAATACCTATCACATGGTTCAAGAGTCGCCAGTTTGAACTCGTACACTCGATGTTTTATGTTTTGAGAGACACCAACCCGGAGGCACCAAGAGAAGTCTGCGAGAATGCCAAAGGTTTAATTTTAAAAGTCTTGGTGGAATCAAACAAGGACACAACTGAAAAGGAAGTTCTTGAAAAACCTTTCCAGACCATCATAGGTGCTTTGGTTTATGACCTAAGCAACGCAAATCCTATTGTGAGAGAGACCTCGCAAGAGGCATTGAAAGTTCTTTCAAGTACAACTGGTGTTCCAATATCAACTATGATTGAGAAGTGCAAAAATATTCTTTTGACTCCAATATTTGGTAAACCGCTTAGGGCCTTACCTTTCCCAATGCAGATCGGAAACATTGATGCTATTACGTTCTGCTTAGGGTTGGAGAACACATTTTTGTCATTTAACGACGAGTTGAATAGATTGTTAATGGAGGCGTTGACTTTGGTGGATGCTGAGGATGAATCTTTAACCAGTGCTCACAAGGTATCAGAGCATAGAACCTCAGAACAGTTGGTCAAACTTCGTGTTGTTTGTATTAAACTTCTTTCACTTGCTCTTACGAAGCCTGAATTCACGTCTAACCAGCAAGGTCATACCAGAATTAGAATTTTGGCTGTTTTCTTCAAGACTCTTTGTGCAAAGTCAACTGAAATCATCAATGCATCTCACCAAGGCCTCGAACAAGTGCTCTCTCAAAATGCAAAACTACCCAAGGAATTGTTGCAGAATGGATTGCGTCCTATGTTGATGAACCTTTCTGATCACAAGAAACTTACAGTTTCTGGATTGGAGGCTTTGGCTCGTTTGTTGGAGTTGTTGATAACATACTTCAAGGTTGAGATTGGACGCAAGTTACTTGATCATCTTATGGCTTGGGCTCAACCTTCAGTGTTGAACTTTATCTCTTCTCAAGAGCTCGAGCATAATTCTACAGTCAAGATTATTGTTGCGATATTGAACATTTTCCATCTCTTGCCTCCAAAAGCCTATACGTTTATGGAGGAGATCATTCGAACATTGACTTACTTAGAGAGTCACCTGCGTCGTACACAAGATTCTCCTTTCAGAGCACCTATTGCGAAGTTTTTGAACCGCTTTCCAAATGAGACTTATCAGTATTTCCTTCAACATTTCCATGTGAGACACATGGGAACCAAATTGGCTTACTTTGTGGCGTTGCCTGAGGATGTTGAACTTAGAAACCATATAAAGGAAAACCTTGGTCAGTTTTACAATAGTGTGGCCCAGGAAAGCCAACATCAGAACAAATGTATCAAATTTGCAAACTTTATTGATTTGATTAAAAGTTTAGCCGAACGCGATGAGAATTGGCTAAACGAGAACAGATCAGTGCTGCTTGACATTTTCTCACTCTCACAAGAGATCATCTCTTTCGCAAATGATGCACCTCTGGTCTCCCCAATCCATTTGTATGTTAAACAGGCGATCGAAAAACTGCAAGTTCTCTTTGTTGCTTACTTCGAGAAGCATTTAATGGAGTCTGATATTGTTTTGGGATTTATAGATCTGCTGTGCTCTATTAACATTCCTATGTCAACTGCCTTGGAAGACTTCCTCTTCAACTGCATTGTTAGATCAGAGAATACTCAATTGAGACAAGAGTACTTGAACAAGTCGGTTTTATTCGCCACTGATAACAAGGGCCTCAAATCGAGAATATTTGTTTTAAAACACATTTTCAACTCGATTATATTGTTCGAAGGATTGAAAAACAACAACTTAGATGCTTTGGCTGCGAGAAACGCTGGATCCAAAATCCCAACATGGTTAGACCTAGTACACACCAAAATTTGGAGAGCTTCAAATGAGATGGTGACGAATCACATTGCAGGGTCAATTGATAACCTCAGATTTGAATTCCTTCAACTGTCTGCGCTCTTGATCAAATTTGCACCATCTCTGGTGGCTGACCTCCGTAAAGATGTGATCAAATTCAGTTGGAATCTGATCAAGCTGGAGGACACATTGACGAAACAAGCAGCATACGTTGTTACTTCGTACTTCATTTCAGTATACGATACACCAGTGAAGATTGTTACCCAGGTGTTTGTGGCATTGTTAAGAACTCATACTGTTGATTCAAGGTATTTGGTAAGACAAGCTTTGGACTTGCTAGCCCCAGTTATGCCAGAACGTATGGGACCTAGTGGATCATCAACTGGTTGGATTAAGTGGGTAAGACGTGTCTTGTCTGAGAACAACACTGTTCAGAACCTGACAGTATACCAATTCTTGATCCACCATGCTGATATTTTCTATAATGCCAGAGACCATTTCATTCCAAATATCATAACCTATATGGGAAAGCTTACTGCAATGTCAAACCCAGCAATTGAGAATCAGAACTTGGCAATTGAATTGGCAGACTTGATTCTAAACTGGGAAATCAAAGCCAAGGAGGACGCTTCAGCTGAGGATAAGACAACTGGTGTTTCGTCTACGGACGCTACCATAGCTGTTAAAGATGAAGATAAGACAACAGAGACTGATGATAGTGGAAATGTGGGAGTCTTGAGTTCTGACATTACTACACCAACAAGTTATGCCGTTCCATTTGCTCAACGTGAGGCTTGTATTACTTTCCTAATCAGGTTCATTTGTATAAGCTCTCAGAGGTCATCGGAAAGTGAGTTAGGACAAAAGGCCCTACACATTCTCTACAAGCTTCTGAGTCCTGGCTTTTGGTGCGAGGTTACTGTGAAATTAGCATTCTTTGAAAAGTTTTTGGTCCAAGCTGACTTCTCCAGTGCTAATGTCTTAGGTTACTGCCTCAATGCATTGGATGTGTTGGGAATTGCACTTGAGGGAAAAACTTCCATTTGGATTGTTGAGAATATTGGGTTCTTACAAAATCTTCTTGACAAGTGTTTGAGATCCGATAATCATGACATTCAAGAGGGCTTGCAACGTGTACTGCGGACCATTTTGAAGGCCATTGTTGAACAGACTGGTTTCGATGACAAGCTTCAATCTGATGAAGTTAAAGCGTTCTTGAATCTCTTGAGTACAATAGTAAGTGAGGACTTACAAAATACCAATTCTGTTGCTGCTGGTGTAACATTAGCGTGGACTTTGGCTAATCATTATCCGAAGGCTCTCGATAATCTCGTTCAAAGTCTCATCCGGACGTTTGCGAAGATTTGCAAAGATCATATCACCATATCTCAGAGTGAACCAAACTCTTCTCAGGCCGAGTTCGAACAGAAGATGACAACAAAACTTCTTGAGAAGATTCTCTGCATTTCTTCCATGCGTATTGGTACTTTGGGTGACCAACGCCGTATTTTCCTCACGTTGCTTGCACAACTCATCGACCGGTCATTAGATGTACGCCTTTTGAAAAATATCATCATACTTGTGAGAAGCTGGGTATTCTCAACAACTGATCTATTTCCAACAACAAAGGAAAAAGCTGCAATTCTTGTGAAGATGCTAGTTTTCGAATTGAGAGGGGAGCTCTCTCTTTCGAAGGAGTTCTATCGTATTATAGTTGATATTTTCGAGGACAAATCTCTGGCATGCACTGAGTTAACTGTCAGAATGGAACAACCTTTCTTGGTTGGTACAAGATTGGCAGACTTTGAGATACGCTCCCGCTTGATGTCAATTTTGAACGATAGTCTTGAAAAGGATATCAACAAAAGGTTGCATTATGTGATCAGAGAGCAAAATTGGGAATACTTGAGTGACTATTTCTGGCTTAGCCAGGCTGTTGAATTATTATATGGCTCATTTGATAAAGACCATATTTTACATCTTGATGATTCTTATCAATTTGCTTCGCTCAATCAGATCAATAACATCGTTGGTGACGCAATTGATGAACCAAGTGCTGATCTAGAAAAACTTCTACACAACCACGATTCTTTCTTGAAATATGCGTCAAATATAAAATCCTCAGATGTCATTGGCCCGTTGTCAGAGCTTTTCTACAAGTCATCGGAAATTGCAAATAAGACTTGGGTCAATATTTTCCCTGCTGCTTACAGCTCTATTCATCGTCGTGAAAAGCAGACCTTTAAAGAAGCCCTGGTATCTCTTTTATCAAAAGATTATCACTCTCGACAAGCTGAAGTTCGCCCTAATGTTATTCAGGGATTACTCGAGGCAATTTGCAAATGTCCAGACTTGCAACTGCCACCGCACTTGATTAAGTATCTCGGATTCAGTTTTGACGCTTGGTATCCAGCGATTAACATCATGGAAACGATCGATCAGGAGCCATTGGTTGAAAATACTCTTATTTGCGAGTCAAATCGGGATGCGTTGATTGAAATGTACGCCTCCTTGCAGGAAGATGATATGTTCTATGGACAGTGGAGAAGAAGAGCCAAGTATCTTGAAACCAATGCTGCGTTGTCTTACGAGCAAATTGGATTATGGGATAAGGCTTTACAATTGTATGAGGCTGCACAAATCAAGGCACGTAGTGGTGTTCTTCCTTATGGCGAATCAGAGTACTCACTTTGGGAAGACAATTGGATTCTTTGTGCAGAAAAGCTTCAACATTGGGATATTCTAACCGAACTAGCTAAACATGAAGGTTTCACAGACTTACTGTTGGAATGTGGATGGCGTGTTGCTGATTGGACAGCAGACAAGGAACCGCTCGAACAATCCGTGAAGACAGTTATGGATGTTCCAACACCACGTCGTCAAGTCTTTGAGACATTCTTGACTCTTCAAGGTTACTCCCAACAAAAGGAGAATCTACAAGATCTATCGAAACTGTGCGATGAGGGTATTCAGCTGGCCCTACGTAAGTGGCATTCTCTCCCAAAGAGATTCACCAATGCCCACGTACCATTGTTGCACACTCTACAACAGTATGTTGAGTTTATGGAGGCTTCCCAGGTATATGGCTCTCTTCTTACTACTAATGCTCAGAATCTTGACAACAAGTCTCAAGAGTTGAAGAGAATTCTTCAGGCTTGGAGAGAACGTTTGCCAAACATTTGGGATGACATCAATATCTGGAATGACCTCATCACGTGGCGTCAACATGCCTTCAGTGTGATCAACAAAGTATACATGCCATTCATTCCTTCATTGCAACAAGCCAACGGTAACAACAATATCAACAGTTATGCATACAGAGGATATCATGAAATTGCTTGGGTTATCAATAGATTTGCCCACGTTGCTCGCAAGCACAATATGCCAGATGTCTGTATTAGCCAATTGACCAAGATTTATACTTTGCCAAATATTGAGATCCAGGAAGCGTTCCTCAAGTTAAGGGAACAAGCCAAGTGTCATTACCAGAATCCAAATGAGCTCAACACAGGTCTCGATGTTATCAGCAACACTAATCTTGTTTACTTTGCAACTCAACAAAAGGCTGAATTCTTTACATTGAAGGGTATGTTCTTAGCCAAGTTGAAGGCACAAGATGAAGCAAACCAGGCATTTGCTACTGCTGTTCAAATCGACTTGAACTTGGCAAAGGCATGGGCTGAATGGGGTCACTTCAACGATCACCGTTTGAAAGAATCTCCGAATGAGATTGTTTATGCGAACAACGCTATCAGTTGTTTCTTACAGGCTGCTGGATTGTACAAGAGTGCCAAGTCGAGAAAGTTGTTATGTCGTGTCTTGTGGTTGGTCAGCTTGGACGACTCTACTGGTGCTTTATCACAAGCTTTTGAGTCTTATAGAGGCGAAGTCCCAGTTTGGTATTGGATCACTTTCATTCCTCAATTACTCACTTCATTGTCACACAGAGAGGCCAAATTGGTTCGTCAGGTGCTAATTAGAATCGCAAAAACTTACCCTCAAGCTCTTCACTTCCAATTGAGAACTACAAAGGAAGATTTTGCTGTTATTCAAAGACAAGCGATAGCTGTTGCCAATCGTCAAGGCTCTGTAAACAGCAACAGTCAATCGAGCCAATCTGGGAACAATGCCACCGCTTCACAAGGTCCTAATGCTGGTGGAGCACTTCCAGGTAATAATGGAATTCAAACGGCGTCAACTAGTAATGGAATACGCCAACCTTGGGAATATGTCGAAGAGATCATGGGTATCCTCAAAACTGCCTATCCTTTGTTGGCATTGTCACTTGAGTCATTGGTTGATCAGATTAACCACAGATTCAAATGCCATGCAGACGAGGATGCGTACAGACTGGTGATTGCACTGTTGAACGATGGTATTCAGTATCAGAGCCGTTTGCCAAATCCAAGAGAAGATGCCAAACTACCACCAACTACAGAGGCCAATATCACCAGATTTGCAGATACCGTATTGCCTAAACATATCAGATCAGAATTTGACAAGGACTTTGTTGAGTCAAAACCTAACTTGGAGACCTATATCAGCAAGTTGAGAAGATGGAGAGATCGTCTTGAAGATAAATTGGACCGCAGATTTTCCAGCGTTAATCTTGAAAGTGTTTGTCCACATCTCAGTGAATTCCATCATCAAAAGTTTGAAGATATCGAGATTCCAGGCCAATATTTGTTGAACAAGGACAATAACCAACATTTCATCAAAATCGAGCGTTTCTTACCAACATTGGACCTTGTGAGAGGAACACATGCCTGTTACAAACGCATCAAGATTCGTGGCCATGACGGTAGCTTGCACAAGTTTGCTGTTCAGTTCCCTGCTGCTCGTCATTGCAGACGCGAGGAGAGAATATTCCAGCTATACCGTATCTTCAACGGTGCGTTGTCAAAGAAAGTCCAAACGCGCCGTCGTCACATTCAACTATCCTTACCAATAGCTGTTCCTCTTTCGCCTCATATCAGAATAATGACCGACACTGAGGACTCGATTTCTCTACAGGAAATTTATGAGGATTACTGCAAGAAGATGAACGTTAGCCGTGACCAACCGATGATCTTTTATAATGAGAAGATGAGGGACGCTGTTGATCCACATTTGCCTAAGCCAGATATCATGAGTATTAGGGTCGAAATATTGAGTTCCATCCAGTCGTTAATTGTTCCAAACAGTTTGATGAAGAACTATTTCGCCACTTTATACACCCAATTTGAAGACTTCTGGCTTTTCCGCAAACAGTTCACTTCCCAATACGCATCTTTCATGTTTATGACGTATATGATGAGCATCAACAATCGCCAGCCACACAAGATTAGCATCAATCAGAGATCCGGTGCTGTTCTAACCTATGAGATGTTGCCATCAAAACTTGCAAGTTCAAAGACCAACAGTAATCTGTTTGCCAACACTGGATTGGACATCGATGCACAACGCGCAGCACCTATCTTCTTCAACCCAGAGAGTGTTCCATTCAGATTGACACCGAATATTCAAACGTTGATTGGAGAAGCTGGGCTGGAAGGAATACTATCTGTTCATATGTTGTGCATTGCAAAGGCTCTGACCGAGCCGGAACCAGAACTTGAGACGTACCTACCTCTATTTGTCCGTGACGAGACCATATCGTGGTTCACACAGCAACATCGCCCATCAGCAGATGAGCCTCAACTTCGTGAGATTGTTCGTGTTAACGTTGATCTTATCATAAAGAAGGTTCAGCAGTTGTGTATCAACAACAACGCCAATTCTGTCACCACTCAACACGTTTTGGATCAAATCCAACAAGCTGTTAATCCAAAGCATTTGGCTGCTTTGGATCCATTATGGATGGCTTATCTCTAACACTCTTATTATATGTTATTTCTAAGTGATAATTATGTTTATTTTTTTCATTGCTAGCGTATTCAGTTGTTGTAGTTACAAGGCCCGAGTCGGTTCACCTGACAACCGAAAACCAAACAAACAAAGACCGAGAAACTCCGCACCGCTAAAGAAAGCATTGATGAGTTAATAAGGCCTTAACATCGAGAATAATGACGAAATCGTCGGGTGGCAACATCAAGATATTGAGGTTTAACCAGGAGTTATTCCTGAAGTCGCCTCATGCCCCCAAGTGGGCTTCATTCTTCACAGATCTGATCAACAAGGGCTACGATTATAACAAACGATATGGTGTTATTGAATCCACGCGGATCAAGGACTCTTCAGTCTTCATGACAGACCTTGGACTGCACAAGCCCGAGTCCTTTATGCTTCTGCTGGTCTATGAAGGAGACAGATCATCCATTGATGAATCGCTTAGAACCACAAGTAAACAGATCCCAATTGAGAACGTTAATATGGAGGTTGAGCCCCCTATCAACGAAGATAGCGTGCTAGGCACAATCGGAGGGAAGCTACACGAGGACCCAGAGCTCGGCACAGGATGGGAGCTCACCGGCGTAGTATCGTTCTACAGGGGAGTCGGACGAGTTCTCATAGAGAGAATCACATCGTTGGCAAAGGAACAGGGCAAATCGCACCTGTTCTGTACCGTTATCTACGAACATGGCTTGTTAGATTACTATTCCAAGTTTGGATTCGTCGAGTGCCAACGCCGCCTATTACAAACCATCGACACTGAAACAGGCATGGTCCAAGGTGGTGACCTAGAAGATGGCATATGCGCATTGAGAGACTTCCACATAGCTTTTCTAAGCAAACGCCTATAGACTGTTCATCCGTTGTAGTGAGATGAAGTATGGTGTAACCTATGGCGTGTGGTGTTTGGATGTATACATTCGTGGATTCTGATTGGCCCGTTCGCGGGCTTGGAAGGTTGTCCCGAGACACACTTGAGAAGGGGTTTGTCTAAGGCTTTGAAACGCTCTCTTTTGTCCAATTGGTGTTTCAATTGAAGGTTGTACACGGGGGAAAAGATGTCATTGGAGGACCGCCTATCACAGGGAGTCAAGTATGATGCGCTCAAGAACCAGGGCACGAAACCTGTTTCCTTGAAGAAGATTGAAATCACCGGTGGTGATTTCTCAAATCACTTCTACGACAAGCTTCTCTCTCCTGCCCTGAATGTCAAGGACGGCGTCCAATTGACCGTGCTGGACGACGAGCTGACTTCCATCCAGCAGAGACTGCTGTATACCGGGCTGTTCAGAGACGTCTCTGTGAAGTTGGACCTCGATGGCGCTCCACAAGTGCCAACCCTGCTACAAGGAGCTCCACAGCAACCTGGCTCATCGTCTAAGCCATTGCCCGTCAAGGCCACCATCCTTCTGAAGGAGTTACCCCTTCTGAAGTACCAGTCATTCTCCAAGAGCACGGACAACGACGTGTCATGTGGTGTTCGCTACCTCAACCCGAACGTGTCGCAGAACGGTGACTCTTTACTCGTGGACGTCAACTTGCAATACGACCCTACCGCCAGAGCCATCACCAAGAACGTCTGGAGCTTGACGTACCTAGCGCCTTCCTGGATCTCATCAGAAGGTAGCAAATTCGTCCTGACACCTGCCGTCTCTAGTGTGGATGCACGTAAATGGGCTTCTCATAAGCAGTACTCTGTGGGAGGGCTTCTTGGGTTGCAGAGACTGTGCTTCAAGAAGTGTGGCGACTCCATCATTACAAATGGCCTGGTTGGTGAGTTGAGACAGGTCACTGACATCTCAAACAACGCCAGCGATGCGATCCGCACCTACGCTGGCGGTGATCTAAAGCTCGGGTTCCAGTCCCATTTGGGCCATGATACAAGAGAGTACGTTGGTAGGTTCACACGTGATGGTTCGTATGGTGAGCTCAACTTCGAGCTCTCAGGTCACAACTCCGTGGACTACTCGCACGGCTCGCAAGAGGAGATCAAACTGCAGCCTTTCATCAAATCCGTGGGCCACTATGAAGGCGCAAGATCTTTCTTCTGTGATAACTTCACGCTTGGATACACCGTGGACACCGGCTTCATCAAATCTCTGATCAACGCGGACGACAAGCTACACATCTCTGACAAGTTTCTCCTCGGAGGGCTGGGTTCGCTCCAGGGGTTCCGCTTGAACAGCGTTGGGCTGAAGAGCGGCCATGATTACGTCGGCGGCTCTTCTCTCTTCAAGGCAGACTTGAGATTGTTTACAAGATTGCCAAACACCAAGCGCGAGTCTCCACTGAGATTGTACAACTACGTGAACTTTGGTGATGTCTATGAGACAAAGACGTTGTCAGCATTAGGAGATTTGATTGCATCTGGTGATTTCATCACCAAGAGCGCAATGTCCACAGGCGTCGGCTTATCCTACAAGGCCGACAACGCTACGCTTGACCTGTCATATAACGTTCCTTTATCATCGAGAAGCCAAGATAGCGCCAGCCCAGGGCTGAACTTTGCCGTTACGCTGAACTTCAAGTGATGGACGTCTTATAAATACTATTCTATACATTGTTCTATATACACACGCACAAGATAGGAGCAAAGCGCTTCACTCAACACGCACAGTAGGGAGTGGCGGGTAGTGTAGATCATGCTCGTCTCGGGTTATTGGTCCGGTGCTCCTTTGTAGTGGGCTTAAGTAGTGATGTGGTGGGTTCGTGGTGGTGGTTTGGTAGTGACACAGTTAACCATTCATTCTTTGTTGATGGTAATTCTACGTTGACTACCATCAGCGGGAGAGTAGCACAGCAAGCGTCAAACAGACAGGATGAGTGAAGTCGATAGCAATATGGACATCGATACAGGTGAGAAGCTTTGAAGATGGCACCACGTTGCTGTTGCGCCTTTGTTTTTGGCTTGTTTGTACTAATAAACACGGGAAAGGCGATGATGGTACAAGGATTCCTACAACGCGTGAGGGGGTGCCTATAAAGAGATCAGTCGAGGGGTACGTAATCATAGGGACAAATATACACGAGGAGGCTACGGAGGAGGACCTGTTTGACTTCTTTTCAGAGTATGGCGCTGTGAAGTCGATCCATTTGAACTTGGATAGACAGACAGGCTACGTGAAGGGTTATGTCTTTGTTGTGTTTGGACAGCTGGACGAGGCGAAGAGGGCGCTAGAGCAAGGGAACGGTGAAGATATCCTCGGTAGGAAGATCAGCCTTGAGTATGCCATTGTTGACGGTGGGGAGGATGACCAAGCGCCGGGTTATGGTGATAGAAGAAGGGAGAGAAGCCCCAGTAGGTATGGCGATTTGATGGGTTAGAGCGCTTCAATACACATATGTGGCTCTCTTTTTAAATAAGGAGTGTAGCTATCACGCGTGTTGTGTGTTGTCAAATCATGATGATGTTGCTGTTGTTGTTGATGGAAAGGCCCACCAGCATCAACAACATCACCAAAGAGCGAATTTTTTCATCATCGCTCGATACACAGCGGGAAAAGACAAGCAAGCGCCTTGCTGGAGAGGCCAAATGTGGTACATACGATATTCCTACGTCGATCTCAAGTGTAAGCAACAAGTGGTGTCCCGACACGCAAAACAATCAGCTGACTAACGACTGCTTCTCTCTAGCGAATGAACTCCAGTTTAACTGTTCACTGTTGAAGAAGGGCCTGCACACAGTTGGCAGACGGCCATCCCAGGAGTTTGTTGTTAATTCAACGCTTGTGTCGAAAGAGCACCTCATATTAGATGTGAAGGATGATGATAATGTCGTAATCAACGTCATTGGCGGTATAACCACAATCAACGCCGACCTCATCGATAGGAGGAATCTCTCAGCATTGCAGAAGAAGACCCCAGATTCCACGTTGATCACATCAACAACTGAAGTCACACTAGGCAAGAATGGCGTGGCGGCATGGATCGTTAAGAAGGCGGTTAATCTAAAGATACAGAGGGACCTTGTGATGAACGAGGAGTTGCTACGCGACGTGTGTGTTAAGTGGTCTTACGATATACACAGCGACACCACACACGTTATCACCAACGTGGGGAGATTGAGGTCTTCCTCGGTACTGGAGGCATTGGTGAGGCAAATACCCATAGTCAATGAAGAATTCGTTACGGAACTCGTCTCCAGGATTGAACTTTTGAAGGTGAACTTTGAAGAGAACTTCCCACGGTATGAAGATTACCTCTTGGACTCTAAATTCACACCGGATGAGAGAAGGAAATCAATCTACGAAACATTGATGTTTGTATTTGTTGATGCTGAGCAGTACGAGTACCTCGATCCAATTCTATCAATGGCGGGTGCAACGTCAGAGTTGTTCGCTGCTGATGAAGAATCAGGAGAGGATGCTCTTGTCGAGTTCATCAAAGGATTGAACGTTTCAATGGCGAAGACCATTTTGATCAAACCTTCCACCAATGCTCAGAATTTCATTAAACCTGTGGGACTTGGAGGCATGGATAGCGCTAAAGTTATGAAGATGTTATCATCTGTATGCTCAAGACTGAGTTGCTTTATCATTGGTACAGATGATTTATTCGAATCCATGAAACAGGTAGAGGTGAAATTGCTGTTCCAAACTCATCAAGCTCCAGGAAAAAGACCTCAGGAAACACAGGAGCCACAGCAATCCAATAAGAAACGCCGTCGTAATAGAATCAAGGCCCTGGACTCGCTGGACTTCTTTGCAGGTGGGGGTAAATTTGAATCTTTGTCTACTGAGGAATCACCAAAGGTCCAAGAATCCATCGTAATTGAGGATGAACAAGAAGATGTGCCTGAAGTCGGAAGAGTTAAGCCTGAAACGTCAGGCTCTACACATAGACGGCGTCCAAGGGTTGAAAGCTTGGAAAATATGATGCTCAATACATTTTCTCCCACATCAATCGTTGAAGAAACATCTATAGAAGCTATTGACGAAGATCTTGAAAAGGAAGAGCATCTAGCTAAGACTGATGAATCACATACAGAAAGTCTTAAATCGAGTAAAGATATTATACCAGTTAAGCCCATCAACTCGAATGATGGCATAGCACCAGTTGAGGACATCAGACGTGATGATGGAAAATCCTTGAAGAGAAAAGCAGAGACACAGTCATTGTCATCTGCTATTGTGAATGCAAAACGTCGTGCTGATGAAAGACTGAAAGAAGAACTGGCCATTGATATTGATGCAGCAGATCATTTGCGTGACCTGGCCATAGTTGAAGAGGTTGCAATTCCGATGCGTGATCTATCAACAAATCAAACACAAGTCACCTTAGACAATACTAAATGGGCCAATAGAAAGAATTTCAAGGTGTTTGTCAAGAACAGCTGCAAGAAGAGAAACAGAAGTCCAAAAGAACCAAGAAATTTATCCTGCTTAAAGGATTATGTGCAGTTTGATGTTTATGACCCAACAAAGGACTTTAAGATTACCAAGATGGACGAAGAAATGTTAGAAGCAATTCAGCGTGACAGGGTACAGAGTGAGGAAATCGAACGAAATGAATTAACTGGAGGCACTGTTCAAGAACAGGCACCACGTGAGAACAAGCTCTTTGTTGATTCGGACTACAGTGATGACGACAATGATGAGTTGGCAGGTAGCTTCAACTTTCGTGATGAAAATGATGCTTCCAATGATGGATTGGATATGCCATTGAGAGTACAACAAGATGCTGATGTATTTGAGCCGATGAGAATGGAAAATATGAGTCGAAATACTGAGCAAGTTTCAGAAGCGAGTGAATCATCTGGCATGGGAATTTCATGCGACAGGACATCTGTCATTCAAAGAATCTCCGTTGATGGTGATAATAGTGACGATGACGATGATGACGACGATGATTTACGCTTCAAATTCCAGAGATGACCCAGAAACCCAAATCCACAAGTTCCGAGTTTCCTGAAGTAGTTCAAATGTTGTCTGTTATCACTGGTAAAGGGTACACCAGCTGAACAACCTTCATCTTCATGGCCGTCACAGTACACAACGTTCTGTAACTGTGGGGTATACTTCCTCACCAGTGATTCATTGATGAAAATCTCATTACCAGAATGCTCAAACTGTGACCCGGATAACCAGTTACGATTATCGTACATGGGCAACTTCACAACTGGGTCATTTCGATGCGTTATTCTTAGGATACTACCCTCAATGAAAGGCTCATCAAGATCCAGTTTGAAAGTGGAATCTATGAACTGTGCAAATTGTGGGTTTCCAACCATTGGCTGACCCATCGTAACCACCTTAATGTCCTTTGAGTCGTCCAACAGAGCCAATTTCAACCCAATAAAGACACTTATAGCGCCTCCTAATGAGTGGCCCATGACCCGAACCTCATAGTCCGGATACAACTGGGTATAATAATCAACATGGGTTTTGATCCCATCCCATGTCAGTAGATAGCTCATGTAGAATCCCTTATGAACCTTGCAGTTAACGCAAGTCGACGGCGATTCTTCATAGGCAACCATTTCAGTATTGAGATCTGTCAAGGTGTCCTTGAACGACCTCGTCCCCCTCAAAACTATGAGGATCATCAACTGTTCATGCCAGAGAGCCATATAACCTGAGGTTTCCAGAAGCGACTGTGACGGGCCTCGTAGGGGCAACCGTCCTTCGGAGGACCACTGATGCACAACCTCAATGCCGTGAAACGAGTCACAGTCATTATCGCATTGGAAAGGCGGCGATATCCCAGACACCGGCGAGATACAATACCTAAATGTGTGTGTTAGTCCTACTTATACGTCCCATCGTCTTCCCTCCAGTACTCACGCTATATCTATCAAGTGAGCAAACGTTGTAAGATTATCATAGAGCTCTTGTGGTATATGCGTGTACTGTAGTTGTGCCAGCACTGATAGCACTCCTAGTGCTAAGCACAAGAGCATCATCGTAGCAAAGTGAGAGTAACAATGGTATTAAAACATCAAGCAATGAAACAGCTCATTCTGGGCCTCCTTTGTAACATCAGCCCCCACCCCGCACCCCCACCGATAAGCTTAGTTTTTGTGTCAACCACATATGATGTGGTTCGGGACACAATAGGAGATGGTTATCGATAAGGTTATGGCTGGTTTGGTTAAACCAGCTTGATGGGCCTGAGATTCTACGGGGGCATCAAC